TTATGATTATTCCAAGTGAAACTTTACTAATGTATCTTTAAAATATTACATCCTGATTAAGTATATAAGAAATTTAAAGTATAAATTTTAAAAGATAGCTAAAAATTTTTGTCAGATTTACCCAGCTCAAAATTTTCTTTAAATTATACAGTGAGAACAGAATTTAATCGTACAAAGTAATTTTTCCATTTTATTTTGCTAAAACTTGTTTTTAACTTGAATAATATTGATAATAATTTTTTAAATTTATTTAAAAAATTATTATCAATATTTTAAACCTAAAAATTATTAAACCTTTTTTTTTAAATTTATTATGACTATTACTTATTTATAATTTTTTAGTAAATATATAAGAAAATGTGTTTACTGTACAATTTTTGCTTTTTTTCTCAAACAGGTATTAAATTGCATACACATAAATTAATTGTGCAAAACTGTTTTATTGGTAATTTTTTATGAAAATGAATGTTTATAATTTTTTCAATTTATAAAACATCAATTTTATTATTGACTTTGTATTTCTAGAACATTATTTTTAGCAATTAATAAAATTTTGGAAGAAAAAGACATTAAAAACTCTGTTTATTGTACGGTATGGCACCCAAAGGTAAATATTTAAATACTACTCAACGAAAACTTGTTATAGACTTGGTTTAACAAGGAAATACTTATAGAAAAGTTGAAGAACTTACAAATATTCCATTTATAACAGTAGGAGCCATTGTAAAGAAATATCAACAACATGAAACTTTTGAAATTCATACTAGACGAGGGCGAAAACGGAAGACAAGTTCAAGAGACGATAGAGAAATTTTAAGAATGATAAAAAAAAAATAGGTTTGAAACTGCAAAAAATATAGCAAATCATTTGAAACACTTAACAGGAAACACAATCTCACTTACATCAATTAGAAATCGCATTCATAAAGCAGGGTTCAGTGGATGTATAGCTCGTAAAAAAACATTTTTAACAAAAAATCAAATGAAGAGAAGAATGAACTTTGCAAAAAAGTACTATTTAATGCCTGTATCATTTTGGAAAAAAGTTCTTTGGTCTGATGAATCCAAGTTTAACTTAAAAAAATCTGATGGTACATAAAGAGTTTGGCGAAAGAGGGGTGAAGCTTTTCATTTAAGTTGCACACGAGGAACAGTTAAACATGGCGGTGGAAGTGTAATGTTATGGGGTTGTATGGCATGGAATGGTGTTCGTAAACTTGAGTTTATTGATGAAACTATGAATGCTGATTTGTATAAAAATATATTGAAACGAAGTTTAAAATCTTCTGCTAAAAAGCTTAGATTGGGAAATACTTTTTTGTTTCAACTAGACAAAGATCCAAAACACACTGCTAAAAAAACGAAAAGCTTTCTCAATGAAAATGGCATAAACGTTTTAGAATGGCCTTCGCAGAGCCCTGATTTGAATCCAATAGAGCATTTATGGACTTTAATAGATAAAAAATTAGGTACTAGATCATTTATAAAAAAAGAAGATTTGAAGAAAGCTGTTGTTAAATCATGGTCTAACATCGACAATAATCAAATTAAGTGTCTAGTAGAATCAATGCCAAAACGCTTGTTAGATGTAATTAAAGCAAAAGGAGAACCAAATAAATATTAAAGTATATTATTAAAATATAAAAACTTGAAACTGTTTCTCAGTTATTTTAATAAACTGGTATTTTTTCTTAGCTTTAACCTATAACGTTTTCTTTTGTACAATTATTTTATGTGCTTGTGTTTTTATCCCTTTCTTCATTTTAGAATTCCTAATCAGGTAATTTTAATACTGAAATAAAAATTTTACTTCTTTTTTGAAAGTCTTTTAACAATTAAAAAATTAGAGAAAAAAAAAGTCTTTACATGTTACAATACTTTATTCAAAGGTGTTAATTTTATTGAAAAATTACTTTGTACGATTAAATTCTATTCTCACTGTATATCACATTATAAAACATGAATACCTATTTGAGATCATGCTTCTTATAAAAGTGATAATTTTTTTTATTTAGTTGCTATGGATACTTATATTGCTTAGTAACCAAATACTTACCTTAGTTAAAAAGGAGTAAATTGATTTTTAAATAAATTTTACCTGATTTTTTACCGACCTATATAAAATTCCTATACGCCTATATAAATTGTCAAAACAATAACCCTTGAATTTTAACCAGTCTATTTCATATTTTGAATATATTGTTACAAAGATAATGTAAAATCTGAATATAAGGTTTTGATCAATACCCAGAGTTTCAGCTGTTAGTTCATATGCTGCAAAAGCACACCTTGAAGTATCGCTATCGTTGCTTGTTCCGTACCCCCACTGTAAGGGAAATCAACAACAAGTCCCGTTTTGCTCATAAAATTAGTCTGAATCTTTTACTTAGTTACAGATTATTTTTGTGTTCTTTTGATCTTGCTTGTTACTTTCTAGTTTCTTTTCTATATGCAATGTGCAAAATCATCTCAAAAAATTGAATCCATGCATGAAGACTGGAAAGACCATATTTGAACTCTCTGTTAGTATAATCTATATTAAGGATATTAATACTATTCATATTTTTTGGAGAGACACCAAACACTGCACAGCACTAGTGTGAGTTAATTTTTTTTTTAAATAATATTGTTTCAATCATTGTAAGTTTAATGATACAAAATTCACTTCACATCAGTAAAAGATCCGCAATCCTCTAATTCACTTCAGTAAAAGATCCGCAATCCTCTAATTCACTTCAGTAAAAGATCCGCAATCCTCTAATTCACTTCAGTAAAAGATCCGCAATCCTCTAATTCACTTCAGTAAAAGATCCGCAATCCTCTAATTCACTTCAGTAAAAGATCCGCAATCCTCTAATTCACTTCAGTAAAAGATCCGCAATCCTCTAATAAAATTATACCTAAGCTTTCTATTTCAATTTTAATTTACTGATATTCTTTAATTACAGGTTCCTTAAATTCCGTTTTGTATGCAAATCTTATAGGTCTACAATAAGCTGTGGATGACAACTTTTGATTTCTCCGAATAGACAACCTTTGCGTTGCTGTTAATAAATCTAGTCAAATCCAATAACTAAACAAGTAATAAATAACGATTCACGCTTTAAATCTCTGTTCATGTCAGGTTCTAATAAAACTTGTTTATAAATGCTTTGGCACGGGGCACCATTAAAACAGGCCTTACACGTAAGTTTCATTGTTTTTATTGCTTTGTTGTTCAATGTCAAGTGCCTCAGCATAGGTTCCTGAACTGCATTTAGATTCTTTGCAAAGTATGAATTATTAAATCTTTTAAAGGGACTAAAGCTGAATAGTTCTCCACTATTATATTTGCAGGAAAGCATTTCAATTTTGCATCCCTGACAGAATTGTAAGCGAGGTAGATGTTATATTCTTTCTCCAAGGCTCCACGTCTCATCAATCGAAAGGAAGTTTTATCAGACTGGCATCAATTAATTAAGCCAGTGCTTCACCTGTTGAATATTTACTTGCTTTATCTGTATTTGAAAGATTTTAAACGTTTTTGGAAGCAATAAACTCATCATCTTAATTTTTTACAAGCAGCAAAAAATTGGATGAATAAGATTTAAGCCAGATACACACCGTTTTTTAGTTTTGTTAGATTTGTCATCAAATGTAAATGGTTTTCAACCATTTCTACTTGCAGTTGGTTCATTGTCTTCTTTTCTGACAATTAAATATTCAATACACAAACTTCTTTTCAAAATTTTTGAGAGTAAAGTTTGCAGATTTCCACTTTTTTTTAATGCAAGTAAGCAAATCGTTGTACAGCATGCCTAAAATCAACGTCTTTTAATTCAGCAATTTTTGGCTGAATAAAATTTCAATCTATCTACTGTAATATTTTGTTTTGAAATTTCAAGATTGTTTTTGTGGAGAAAATTATAAATGTCCAAGTTTAAAAAAATAAAACCTTAATAATTCTTGTAACAAATATTTTGTATGTAAAAGTTTAATATTACAATATATATGCCGTGTGGACTACTATTTTTGTTAGTAATTAAAATTAAAAGTAAATAAATTACTAACAACTATCAAAAATATGCTGTTGTTATGCTATGTAAAGTAAGGTATCCATAGCAACAAAAAAATTAACCTCATAAGAAATGTGAATCTGATTTTAATACATACGCCCAATTTTAAGGATTTAAGAGGACGAGCAATCAATCGAAACTTGATTGAAGCATCATATAGCTCAAATAAATATAAGACAGCAGTCGGCAAATTGTGGCAATTATTAGTTATTGAGCGGCAAAAAATAAAATTCTTGAAGATTTTTTTTTCGTTTTGAAGATAAATTTGTCATAGCATGTTATCTCAGTTATATTTTGAAAATCTGCGATTTTCAAAATATAACTGAGATAACATGCTATGACAAATTTATATCACGCAATGGTTTTTTTTTTTTAATCTCTAAATACTCCAAAATAACATTTACGTATTTTTTGTTTTAAAAACGTAGATGTTATTGAAATATCACACAACGTTGATGTTACCGAAATTACTTATTTATATATTTTTTTAATTTCAATATTCAAATGCTTAGAGTCCTGGTAACGGAGACTTAATATAAATAAATTATCAATAAATTTCTCTTAATAAATGTAGATACCAAAATTAAATAAGTTTTCAAGAAAATTAAAACTTTTCCTATTTTGTCCAACAACTGGCCCACTGTGCGTTGCTCGACCAAAAAATAAACATCATTAGTACTTTATAAATTTTATTTATCACTGTTATAATGTAACAAATTTATTTTGAAATGTTGCAACAAAAAATCTGTAAAAACTTTAAAATGATCATCTTTTCTTGTCATATTAGAAATTTATATATTTAACAAATATAACATTAAGATTTTCATCCAGGCAGATTTATTTTAGTTAAAGAGCTCAGAAGAATAGTCAAATTAAAAGTTCAAAAAAAAAAAAAAAATTGTTTATTGATTTTAAATTTTATTCTGATTCAAAAGCACAATCGAATCAAATCTCATATCAAATTTTATTTCAGAAATCAAAACCAAATTTGACAAATATAAATTGATCGGAAGCTTTGCATATAATATTAAATATAGAAAAACGTTAACTGAACCATATAAAAAAAAAAATCCAATAAAAGCACTTTAAACTCAATGAAATTAAGAATCAAAAAGAAAAAAAGTAGTTTTATTTTTGATTTAATAAATAAATATAATTACTTAACATTGATTATTTAATAATAATAAGTAATATAGTAAATTAAAGTATTTTTTATCCTGGTATATAACACCAAAATCTTAAACAAAAGGTATATAAAACTTTTTTTTTAAAACTTGCTATATTTTTAAAAACTTGCAATATAAAGTTTAACTCTTCAAATTTTAAATTATATGATTCCTAACTACACAATGTCAAAAATATTTCGTTTTAATTTTTGATTTGTTTCAAATTTTTTTTGTATTCATTTACCGTTAATCTTTTCATATTTATTCTCAAAGCAATCACTAAATGTATTTCAATGAAATTCTCGGCTCGTACTCGATAAAGGTTCTTCCAAAAAAATATTTAACATTTACTTTCCAACTTTCAATCATTTTATATTTAGTAAATTAAATTATTTATAACTTCGATAAATAAAACACAAAAATATTAAAATAGCGCTACAAATATTAAGTAAATAGGACAGACCAGGGCGCTGGGTGTATAGGGTACACAAGAGTGCTGGGTGTTCTTTTAATTATCAATAAAACCTTTTTTTAAATACGTTTTACTAATTTTTTTCCCTTACTTATTGACCGAAAAATGTTAAAACGATGACAAATATGCTAACTTTTAGTGGAATGATACTAATTTTAAACGTACTTAAACGCATAGTTTTATTTGTTAACAAGCTCATCTGAACCGACCTGCGCTCATAACCAACATGCCCAGATCTATCCTACTATTGAATCTGAATGCTGAAACGTTTATATCTATTATAATACAGTTGTATATAAATAACAAGACAAATAATAAATGAAAAAAAAGTTAACGAAATAATTTAATAAAATAAATTACAATTTAAAACGAGGTCACTTTCATAATTGCTTCAAAGCAACGAAACTTATCAGGCAAATAAAACGGTTCAAATACATGCGCAAATGGAGTATCATGACCACAAACTCTCTGAATAGGAGCTTCTAAGCTGAGGAAACAATTTTCCTAAACATAAAATTATTGGTTAATAAATATGCAAACAAATAAAGTTTTATAGTAGATAAGAGTCGTATACTTTACATCCAATTCACTTCCAAGGAAAATCTTAAACAAAGCATTAAAAAAAAAAAATTACTTGAATAGTAGCGGCAATTTCACCACCAAATCCACCTGTTATGGGAGCTTCGTGCGCTATAACGAGTCTACCAGTTTTAGATACGGACTAAAAATAAATGAATTTTAACAACTATAAAAATTCAAATACCATTATGTCAGTACCTAAAAAAATTATGAACACATTTTATAAAGACATTTCATGAGGATAAGTGTAAACCTTTATGATGGTTTCCTCGTCCCAAGGCAGAATGGTACGTAAATCGATAACTTCACACGAAATGCCATGTTTCTCTTTTGCCATTTGAGCAGCATCGCGAAGCACATGAAACTGAGTACCCCAACCCACCAAAGTAACATCGCTACCTAAATTATTGAATGTAAATAAAAGAAAAACAATGTGAGCGTAAAATGATTATTAACACCCCGTTTTCAATAAAACGTTTTTAATTTTAAACACGTTATTTATATTAACAATCAAAAGGTTCTTTAAAACAGTTACAAAACATCGAGATTGTTTTATGTTAACAAAAATTCAAAACAGATTTTATATAAAACATTATTGCGAGATTGTTTTATGTTAACAAAAATTCAAAACAGATTTTATATAAAACATTATGAACAAAATATAAACTCAATATAATATAATGCTTTTTAAAAAAAACTTTCACATACATTATTTCATTTTTTACATTACACATTTTACATAACATAATTTCACTACTAAAAAACAATATTGACCAGAACTATCTTCATAGAAGTGATGTTATGTAAAATGATAATACCTATTGCGAAGTTAGCATCTGCTAAAGGTGCTTCTTTTTATTTTACTTACCATTTTCTTACTTCTGATTCCATTCTCTAGCTCTGTAAAACTGTAAATCACACATCTTTGTATGGATCTGGTCTGTAAAATCATAAATCTATGTATGGATGTGTTAACATATTTTCTAATGTAGTTAGACCTGCTTTAACTGTCTAAAGCTTGAGTCTTTGTCACATCATTGTGAGGTTGAATCTTTTTCATTATTTTCTACAAATACTACCATGGTCGCTGTTTAAATAAGCTATTGTTGTTCTACATACTAAAACACATTTTTGCGTGAACCGTCCTTTTACTATACCTGATCCTTCATGCTCAAAAAACATTTGTTTCTATCGTTTATTTCCACAAAAACTAGTGCTTTGAAAAAAACTTTATTGAAATAAATAATTCCCAATGTAATTAGGACTTGTAAAAATGACATCAAATTATTTTAATAAACATTTTGCACTGGATCTACGCAATTGTGGACAAATTTAATACATCATCTATCATTTTAAAATCTTCATTTTTTTGTCTTTCCTTTAAATACATATTTTTAACTTTTTTTGCAATTTTATTGTATGTAAAGAAAATTCAGGTCAGGTTATCCTGCTACTGGTAACTTGAAACCCAGCACAATCTGCTTTATGTCCTGCTACCTTGTAAGATACGCCTTTTAGGAGATGCCAACTCTTTAGCCTCCAATAAAACACCTCCTGCCTTGGGGCTCTTGGTTGAGTAAAGGCTTGAGATGGTGTCGCGATGAAAATACTCATCTTGGGCAGATGTTAAATGCATCCGGCTGCTGTCTTGTAGAAGGCCTCCTAGGTAAAGACTTAAGGGGTAAACAGACTCTATCTGTTGACCAGCCTCGCACCCCTTCTTCATCTATTAGGCTAGCGCAGATGTACTTTTAACACATTGCTAACAGTTTAGGATGTTGAATGCTGAATCTTCTTGACTCGTTGCATGGATTTTGCTTGTGTCTCTGTTTTTCAACTCATTATATTATCTCCTAATGTGGGTATAACTCTAAAACTCAGTTTTATAGTTCTGAGGCTGGCTGGTAGTCAGGTTTCCTGAACTCTGAGGTAGCTCTCAGAGAGGCTGATTCCATCAACAGCTGAAAAATATCAAAGTATTAACAGTACCATGTTGCGCATAGATGGTGTCCCTGTTTGTACTTTTGGTGTGCATTGCCAAGGCCACATTAGAGCCCTTTGTTAGGGCTTTAGCTCTAATAGTAATGAGGCAATTGCTTGGGCTATTAAACAGTGTACTGAGTACTACCTATGTTTCTAGTCAAGTTCTTTAACAAATTTAAAAATGAATAAAGTAACAAAAGCTATAAAACACTGTCATCACCAAGTTCGCTAAACCTATCATTCACTAATAATCGTGGTTTTTAAAGTAACTTCAATAGTCACATGTTTGGCCTAGGCATTTACATTCGTAAGAATTCACCCATTTGTCAGGAAACTAGGTTTGAATCCACAGACTACTCTTTTATGTGCTTTCATTTAGCACCACTTCACTCAATCACCTTTCTCTTTGCTGTATATTGCTATTCTTTATTTCAAGACTGAACTCTTCTTGATGTTATTTCTGATCATATTGAGCAAGCTCTCTCTCTTTATCCATCAGCCAATATTGTTATTGTCGGTGACTTTAATGTTCACCACACTGAATAGGTTAGCTCTAGTGTTAGTGACTCTGCAGACATTAAAGCTCACTAACCCTAACCCTAGCCCTGACAACCTTTGACTTTCTCAATCCCTAACTCAAATAGTTAACTTTCCAACTCGTTTTCCAGACAACCCCAATCATTTACCTTCTCTACTCGACTTATATCTTGTTTCTGATCCTAGTCAGTGCTCAGTATCTTCACATAGGTGCCTCTGATCACAGTTTGATTTCTCTAAAACTATTATCTTATTCTTCTTCATCATCAGAATCCCCCTAACATCATACATCTTACAACTACCTTAAAGCTGACTGGGAGTCTTTCCATGATTTTCTTTGTGATGGCCCTTGGGCAGAAATCTTTCGTCTTCTTGTTGACAAAAGTGCTTCTCACATAACTTTGTGGATTCAGGCTAGCATGGAATCGTTTATTCCCTCTCAACCATTCCAGGTCAAGCCTCACTCTTCTCCATTGTTTTCCTCACATTGTGCTGCTGCAATTGCCGATCGAAACCATTACTTCCATATCTATAAGCAAAACAATTCTCCAGAAAACAGACATCTGTTTATTACTGCTATGAACCATTGTAAAAAGGTTTTGTTTAACTCCAAATCCCGCTATTCTCAGGTCATGAAATCTCGTATTTCATCACAATAATTAGGCTCTCATGACTTCTGGAGAATCTTTAATAGTATCAATAATAAGGGCAAGTCTGTAATTATATAATTTGTATGGTTCAGACTTTGTCACCTCACCTAAAGACAAAGCTGAATTATTTGCTAAGAACTTTTCATCAATATCATCTCTTGATTCCACTAGTTGCACTTTACCTGATATAGCAGTCAAACAGGTTGATCCATGTCTTGACATTTGTATCACTCCAGCTTCTGTATCTAAAGTGATTTCCTGATTAGACTTTTCTACAGCTTGTGGCCCGAACAACATAACTGTTATGGTCTTGCAGAAGTGTTCACTGGAGCTGTCGTCTATCCTTTCAAAACTATTCAACAAGTGTTTTCCATCCCTATTTTTAAAAATTCTGGAGAGCGATCTAATTCGTCTAACTACCGTCTTATTAGTCTTTTTCCTATCATTAGCAAGGTTTTTGAATCTTTAATTAACAAACACTTAATCTCTCATCTTGAATCTAATAACTTACTTTCTGATCATCAATATGGATTTCGATCTTCTCGTTCTATGGCTAATTTGCTAACAGTAATACTACTATTTATTCTTGTCATGATAAGAAGCCAAAACTCTCTGATTGCTGGGAGGGGCCATTTGAGCTTGAAAAGGATCTCACTTCTGCTACAGCATGGGGCTCACAGTGGCTGGTAAACTTTAATTCAGATAAAACTCAATTTTTTTCAGCCAATCATTATCGCAATAATTTAGACCTTCCTATATTTATGAACGGTTATGTACTTGATGAGTCATCTACCCTTCATCTTCTAAGATTGACTTTTACTTCTGATTTTTCTTGGAAACCATATATCAAATTCGTTGCAAAATTAGCATCTGCTAAAGTTGTATCTCTTTATCCAGCTCAATACTTTCTTACTCAGGATTCTATTCTCTATCTCTATAAATCTCAAATCCGGCCTTGTATGGAATACTGTTGCCATTTCTGCGGCGGATCTTCTAATAATGCCCTTTCTCTTTTAGACAAGGCCCAAAAACGCATTGCAAACATAGTTGGACCTGCTCTTGCAGCCAATCACATCGTCGTAATGTTGCTTCTCTTTCTTTTTTCTACTAATACTGTAATGGGCACTGCTCTAAGGAGCTAGCGCCTCTTGTGCCATCTACTAAAATTCATTCTCGTATTACTCCTGTAATACTGTCATTACTGTGACTGTTCCTAAGTGCTCCAAAATCTCTTATTCCTCTAATTTTTTTCCTCAAACATCAGTTCTTTGGAATTCTCTTCCTTCATCTTGCTTTCCCGATTTATCTTGCTCTACAATTTTCATCTTTTCTCTTTCAGTAACTTCCAACACTAATTAGTGGTTGTTTGCAGCCTTGTTGGAAGCAAAAATGTTTAAAAAAATGAAATTAAAAAAACTAAAAAAAAAAAAAATACCTTCTACAACAACTTCAGCCTTTGATAATGGTAATTCGTAATCTTTTAAAGGAACTTCCTCAACTAAGAAGTGTGTATATATATATATATATATATATATATATATATATATATATATATATATATATATATATATATATATAAACAGACCTAAATGCAGACTTACACACACATAAAGTTATGATCCAAAAGATTCAATGAATAATAGGGTACAGCAAAAAAAATTTTTTTTTTTTTAAAAAGTTTAGGAAAAGGTGTATTTTTATGCAAAACTCAAATTATAAAGAGGGTTTCCTAAAAAAAAATGTTGATTGGAAAAACTTTTGATACCCACATATGGACTATTAAAAATTGCAAAAACTAGTAAAATCTAATTTGTCACATATCCTTCATTATATTTTACATTTTTTTTTTCATTGTGATAAAATATTAAATGCAAATAATATTTATATATTGTTGAAAGTTTTTTTGATATTTTTCAAAATGATTATCTTGCATGGATCCTATCTACAGTGCAGATTCTGCATTTTTTTATAGGGAGGAGGAGGGGGTCATCACTTTTTTATGAGATTTTAATGATTAAAAAATTTGATCATATTAGTTCATTATACTTTCACCAAAAAACAGGTGGTTTATCCCCCTATCTTACTCCAACAATATTTTGATAGAACTACTAAAACACTATTAAAAAACAAAAAAAGTCATAAATTTAATAAAATTTCTTTCTTTGTTTTAAAAACAAGTAGCAACTCTCTATGATAAGCTCTAGCTCTAATAAACCCATCTCTTGCATCTGGTCCAACTACTGACATGGATGCTACTGTTACTCGTTTTACAGCACGCTCAATACTTTGAGTATGAATTTTAATCAAAGTACTTATTAAAGGTTTCAAACATAGTAATAACAACTTATCTCTGGTGAGTGAACAAGTAAAACCAGGTTCTTGTACAACACCATTTTTCCATTTAACTAGCTCTTGAAGAGTAGTTGCTGCAAAGTTAAGTTTAGGTGTTTTTCTTGGTCTGATTTGCATATCTCCAAGGGTATCATTACCCCTTAGTTTCAAAATTCGATCAACTGCAAAATTGCGGTCTGATGCATTATTACTAGATAAGAGATTAGTATTAGAGATTAGTTACGGCAAGTGAAATCCTAAACCTATGAAATAAGAATAGCTTATATTTATTTCTATTAACTCAACAAAAAAATAGTGAATATAATTACCTTATACTAGCCATAGCTGTGTTTTTTATTGACATTGTGTTATACCTTGACTTCTTTTCTAAAAACCATGTTACAAGGAAAGCATAGACACCTAACTTTTCTTTTAGCAACCTTTCAACCAACACCAGCAAAATCTGCAAACATTACACCACTTTTTAAAAAAGGAGAAAAGAAAGACCCACTCAACTACAGACCTATCTCCTTAACATCGATACCAATTAAGATAATAGAGAAAATAATTAGAAATAATTTATACAACAGAAAACAATCTGTTAACGTCTCAACAACATGGATTTGTACAAAATAAAGGGTGCCTAACAAACCTAATAGAAACTTTCCATATTATTACAACTGAAGTTGAAAAGGGTTATCCAGTTGATATATTGTTCCTAGATTTTGCAAAGGCGTTCGATAAGGTGCCACACTATCGACTTACACATAAAATTTCTAACTATGGAATAAAAAGCAATGTTTTAAATTGAATTGATTCTTTTTTGAAAAACAGAAAATAAAGAGTGGAAATAGGTGAAGTTGTATCAGATTGGTGCGAGGTTTATAGCGGTGTGCCATAGGGCTCTGTATTGGGTCCTTTCTTTTTCTGTTATATATCAATGATCTTCCCCAATGTATCTCTTCAATTGCAAAACTATACGCTGATGATACTAAAATCTGTTATAAAAGAACATAATGATCTAATTAATATACAAAATGACATTGATTTGTTAACTGAATGGTCAAATGTATGGTTAATGGACTTTAACATAAGTAAATGCAGTGTTATACACATTGGAAGAAAAAATATTAACTATAACTACACTATAAAGCATGACAATCAAAGTTTTTTTCTAAAAACAACAACAAAACAACTAAAAATAACAACAAAAGAACTAGACTAAGGTGTAATAGTTTCATCCCACATGAAATGGAAACATCAGGTTCAAGTAGCTACAAGTAAAACACAAAGAATCTTATGTTTAATAAGAAAAAGTTTTACTTATCTTGATATTGAAATGGTAAGGCAAATAAATACATCGCTGGTTAGACCACACTAGAATTCGCAGCTCCAGTGTGGAGTCCAAGTAATAAAAATAATATCAATGACCTGGAAAAAATTCAAAAACAAGCAACAAAGCTATCACCGGAACTAAAACATCTAAGTTATACTGAAAGATTGACAAAGTTGAGTGTCACAACTCTGGAAACAAGAGGTTTAAGAGGTGATCCCATTGTGTTTTTCAAATTAAAAACTGGACTGATAAGATATTGTGGTATAAAGAGCTTAATAAAGTTTCTTCCTAAAGTCAAAGAGGTCATCCAATGAAATTTAAAAGAGAATTTGCAAAAACAACCCTAAGACATAATTTTTTTATGAACAGAGTGATACCTCATTGGGAAACTTTACCTAAAAAAGTGGTTTCTGACAGTAAATTCTTTTAAAGCTAGGCTAGATAAACATTTGTTAACGGCTGTTAAAGTATAAATTTTAAACTGTATGCTCCACGACAATAGTTGTTACAGCAGTTTGTATTACTATTACAATTACCTTATTTCATTGTCAAAATTTAAAGTTAAGTTAACATTATCTGGATTATAGTTTTCATTGAGAAAGTCAGGAGATATTCTTTTGATATTCTTTATCTAATTCTATATCTTCTTCTTCTGTGACCTAAAACCAAATTAAAACCAATTGACGGTTTTTGACAGGAAATCCCATATTGAACCCAGATATTTTTTTCATTCTTCATCGCTGACTTTTCTCTTATACTTTTTTCTTAGTTTCATTGTCTCGATCTTATCAGCATGTCTCATCTGCATATCAAACTTTTCACTTGTCTTATTTCTTTGACTGTATAACCACCTGAGCTCCATAGTCAGAATTTCTTCAGAATAAATACAGGTGCAATTTATATGTGCTTTATTTTTACAATTTTTGGGGAAAGAACACCCTGGCAGATCATGCTTGCATAGAAGTATTGTGTGAGGACATTAGTTATGAGGTCCATTAGTTTATCTAACTTCAATATAAGCTCTTCTTTTACTTTTGCCTTGGTTCTTCCCCATGCAGGGTTTTCTACTTTCTCCCAAAGTGTTTTTATTCTATAATAATGTGATTTCTCCCCAATAATAACTGGTTGTTGAAATAAAATATTTGCTTTTTTCCATTGAGCAAGAACAAGTGGAATTAGATCTCTAGCATGATCTTTGTTAGAATACTTATTTTGGTTATTTTGTAAACTGTATGTTATGCTTTTTTATTTTTTAAATAAAACTCCTTTTTAAATAATTGCTCTGTTTGTAGGCAGCTCACTAGGAATAAAATCTTTTCCAGGTCCAATAAACTCAGAAATTCTAGTGGTGGATAAATATCTAGTCTTAACTTTCAACATTTATGAATAACTCAATGATATAAGGAATAAAATATTTACAGACTACGATCTTGTTATGATGTTTTTTACGGCAGAGAGCTAAGTCAGAATTTCTTTTAAAAATGATTTGGCACTGCGCTTATTATAAGAGACTAAACATAAAACCGGATTAAATTTACTTTATAATAATTTAAGTATATTTCATTTTAATAATGTCTAAATATAAAAATTTGGATATCAAAACGTTTCCTTATCAAAAAGGTGTCCATAGCAACCTACCTTAAAATTTCATTTTACATAAGAATACACCTTTTCCTAAGCTTTAATTTTATTTTTTTCAAAAACATATGAAATTCACTGTACCCTAATGAATAATTATAGTGAAAAAGTATTCTTTTACAGTATGATGTACACATTACTAGAAAATGTTTTAATTAAAAAAACATACAAACAAATAGCATAACATAAAATAACAAAGAAGTCACAGCATAATACATGTTTTAGCACTTTGTATGGGGATCCTAGAACATTTAAAACAACCCCTGTTATTGCGGTAGTAAGGCAACAACAGATTTACAACATTCAAGCATTAATTTATGACACTACACTTTCATTATGACTTTTTTCATATCTGCTAGCAAGGTTGGGTTTTGTTTAAAAACTACTATCTTCGATTTTATCCAACAGTTTTTCAATTGGATTTAAATTGGATGAATTGCATTGCCATGGAATAAGACCATTAATTGCATTTCCTTGGAACTATATCTTTACAATTTTCATGCACAAATATTTAATGCACAAATGTTTTGGATATTGTCATGCGTGACAGAGAAATTGATGGCAAGTTTCCCTGCTGTGCATGAAAATATCCAAAAAAATTGAAAAACAATTATGCTGATTCACTTTTCAGATTTTCTTCGAAAGTTTCCAGACAGAAAATTATGATAAAATAAAAATAAAAAATGTAAAAAGTAAAAAATAAAAGTAAAAAATGTAACAACATAACATAACAAAATAAAAGTAAAAAATGTAACAACATTGCTGAACTTTTATGTTTTTTTGCTAGCTTTTATTATATATATTTTTTTGCATGCTTGAAAGAACTTTCAGCAGAAAAACTTTAAAAATAATCTTAATGAAGAATCAGCTTTTAGACAAATTGTTCTTCAAAATTTCAAAATAAATAGTGGAAGTAACAATCTCACCTTGTTGTAAATGTTATAAACCAGCACAACTTTTGACATTAATTACAACCTAAATCATAATTGCTGGAAATTGCTTAACAGAAGGCGTAACAAAATGAAGATAAAGTATGTGTTTGGGGGCCGTAAACATTGACTCAGTGCGCTGCAAACTACTTAACTTGCACTATGGTGAGTGACATGTCGCCACATTTGAACAGTATAATCTGTATGTTCTTTGCAAAATTTGAGGCAATCATAATTATTTTTTTGAAAAAAGCATTGCTTTAATCCAGCATGATAAGATAAAAGATTAAAGTCCTTGGCAAGGTGTCTTGACAAATGACAGAAAGAATAAGGTAAGCAGGCACACTAAAGGTGTTTAGTAGATGCATGTAAGTGAACACAAGATTAAGATTTTGGTATAAAAGAATTTTCTTATTTAATAGTCTTATTCTTTTGCATTTTTTTCTAAAAATCTAAAGTTGGCAAACTGTCAAATGCCAACTACAACATACTATATTTTGAAAGACATATATCATTAAACCATAATCTAATATATGTGCTTATGGCTACACTTTTCAGTAATCAACCTTACTCTATTGTCACTTGTATATATACATATAATACAATTCTTGAAATAAACTATGCAATCTTAAAAAGCAACAAGAAATTTAATCTTTCATGCTCAAAAAAATATTTATTTATATAGTTTATTTCCACAAAAATCAGTGCTCTAATACAGTGCCGGATCAAGGGGGAGGCTAGGGGGCTATAGCCCCGGGCCCCGCAAATTTAGGGTCCCCCAAAAATTTTAGAGGACCTTTTTTTTTTTTAATTCATTTTTAGGCTCTGGCCCATAAAAAGGCCTCCAAAAACAAAAATATCCCTGGACCCCAAGAAGTCTTAATCCGCCACTGCTCTAATATATACTCCCAAACTGATGTTTTCTTCATACAACCTACAGTTTTTATTAGTTTTCTGTCAACCATTTTCTTGCTTCTTAACTCTCTACTCTTCTGGTAATATTACAGACTTGTAACAACATTAATATTTCTATGCACTTTTTTTCATTTTAAGTAGTCTTAATTTTTTATGAAAAAGACAAAAAAACAAACAAATCAAACAATAAAAAAAGAATATGCTAATAGATTTTGCATGTTGTTAGGACTTGTAAGGATAACACCAACAAGTTTTAACCAAGCATTTTTTACAAAAAAAAGAAACATTTTAGTGCTAATTAGTTTAAAAGTTTATTCTATACCTGCTTGCCTGTATAAAATTTTTGGTTCCAAAAAAATAACAGGATTTGGATCTCTAATGGAAGCTAAAAGTAACCCTTTTGTCTGACTGGGACTTCTAGGAATGACTACCTGAATTGAGAAAATAAAACTAATATAAAGGATAAATATGAAAGATAGTCATGTATGATAACAATAAATTAAAAAAACAAAATAAAACAACAACACTAAATTGAAAAAAAATGTAACAATTTTAAATTTTTTATCTAATAATTACTTTAAATGGTACATAAAATGCTTTAATTATTTAGAAACAAATATAAAAATAAAATATAAATATAAAAATGTTTTTACTTTTAAACCAGGAGTATGTGAAAAATGTGCTTCTGGCATTTGTGAATGATATAATGCACCATGACCTACAGCTCCACATGGTGCTCTAATTGTAAGCGATCCACAATTAAACAAGTTTCCAGATCGATATCGAAACTTTGCAGCTTCATTAACAATCTAAGTATTTAGATATTATAAATAATATAAAAAAGTAAAGAAAGTTTTTTTATTAAAATAAAAATTAAAAAGCTTAAAAAAACATTACAAAAATTAAAAAAAATTAAAAAGCTATTTAGAAAAAGTTAAAAAAAAAAATTAAAGAAAAAGCAAAAAATTAAATATAAAAATAAAAACAAAACAACTATTTATGTTTAATGTTTATTATTTTTAATATTTAATAACTATTATGTTTAATAATTTATTTTTTTTGTTTTAACTTTTAAATTAATTATGCTTAATGATGTCACAACCATACCTGCTCAAACATACCTGGTCAAATGCAGGATATATATAGTCAGCAAATTGAATTTCAGCAATAGCTGTAGAACCAGCCACAGCAACACCAATTCCAAATCCCACAATACCTTGTTCACAAAGGGGAGTATTAAAAACTCTGCTTGTACCTACATAAAACAGTTCAAAAACTAGATGTGATCATATTTTCTAATTTTCTTAAAAACCAAAAGTGATTTTTTGTATTTAAATAACAATAAACAAAAAAAGTTCATATTTTTGATAATTATTTTGGTGGTCTTTTAAAAGTTCAACTCCCATGGTTCCACACATTTATTGTTTGAATAAGTTTCCATACTTTTTTATTTAAATATGACATGAAAGAGTTGAAACAGTTTAAAAACTAGATACCCTGGCTCAACCTGTTTGTGATATCACCACTAGAAAGATTCAAAGCTAATAAACTCCTACTACTTGAAACCTCTAAATGATTTTTTAATGCTTTTTTTAGTTTATTTATTTTTTTAGTTTAACAATTATTTAATATGGTTTACTATTAAAATTCAAATATTTTAATAGTAAACCATATTTTACTATTAAAGTCTAATGAATTTTTGAAGATTTTAAATAAAAAAGCATCAAAATATTGCCATTTTTAAGTCTGTTTTTTTAAGATAATATCAAATAATTTATTATTTAATACAGCAAAGGACTATTTGATAAAACCAAAATCTTAACACTTAAAAGAATATTTATTTTACTACTTTTACAACAACAAACTTAAAATGCATTTGAAATATATATATACACACACTCAGATATATATATATATATATATATATATATATATATATATATATATATATATATATATATATATATATATATATATATATATATATATATATATATATATATATATATATATATATATATATATATATATATATATATTCTGAACATTAGTTCAACATTGAACAACTACAATTTATGGGAATGAAATAGAAAATTATTACACATTACTCATAGTGTGTATCAAGTAACACAAATGCTACATAGACTGAAAAAACAGAACCATTCCCCAAAACCTTGAAAATAGTTCTTTTTAGAACCATTCCCCAATGGTTCTAAAAAGAGCCATTCCCCCAAACCTTGGGGAATGGTTCTTTTTAGAACCATTCCTTAAGGTTTTGGGGAATGGTTCTAAAAAGAATGGTTCTAAAAAGTTGATACTCTATGGAAAAATATCTCAACAACTAAAAACACAATTTTAATCAACACATGACATCACATCATTATTATGGTGTTAAGCGGTATCATTATCAAGGCGTTAAGCATTATAAAAATGCTCTTGTGAAACTGAGGTTTTTAACTTTGGTGAATACAACTCACCTAAAAGATGAAAAAATCTGAGACAAAAACCCCAACTGAATTGTGGGTGAGAGTAGGAGCAGTTAGTTAACCTCAGACGGTAACCTCCTTAGTGATCACAATAAAAATATTGAGTTAACTGTATAAAATAAGATAATGCTTAGAAGAGCATCCGGATGTAAAAATCTGCTCCAAAACCACATAATGTAAAGTTTCAAAAATAAAATACTGCATTGCCTGTAATGCAAATTAACAAGTTTGCCTAATGACTGTGGGCCTCAGACAAATCAATGGTCAAAAATAAATATTTGGCAAGTATAATATAGTAACCAGGGTTAATCCTAACACTATTTTAAGTGTTGGTCTTACAATCTTTTTAGTAGCTAGTGAGAGTGTCAGTATGACAAAAATTGTAAGGTTAAAGGTTGTTTCAGCCCAATGTAGGCTCTATAAAAGAAAAGGTGAAATGAGAGATGAAATGGCAAGCAAGTTATATGCTGCCTGAAAAAAACTTGCTGGAAAGGTGGCAGGGCTAAGACTACTGCAGACCTTGTGATGAATAAAAAAATGTTTAGCGCATTCGCCTAACAGAATATTTGGTATCATAAAATTGTTTATTGGTTGCTTTTTTTTCATATTTATCAACTTTTTTAAACTAATTTACTAAATTACAACAGAACTAGTTTACTTGAATAATTGACTCAAAAGAATTTAAAATTATTATCAAATAATAATGCAATCAATAATTTTTTTTTCTTTTTCTGTTTATTTGACATGTGAAAGTAACTACCTAGTGTTTAAAAAATCATTAGATAAAAAAATAAATTTTTGTAAATATAAATCCAGACATTGCATTGAGTTATATTATTATTATATATATATGTTTTATATAGGTTAGCTTATTTCAAACATTCATATTTATAATGCCTATCAAGTGATAAGTTCAGTAATTATGTTGAAACCAAACAACAATCAAACTTTTAAGCAAAGCTAAGTTATTTATAATTAACGTTTTTTAAATTAACCGTTTAATTGCCAGTCGTCGCTATATTTCTAATACAATTATAACTCTCAAAACTAACATTGTCTATAAAAATACTCACATACTTGCTAGCTTATATCAAAATATTTTTTAAAAATTTGTTTACACTTTGTTTATTTATGCTGTATTATAACAATTGACAAGTTTTTTTTACTGCTCCTGAATATTTTGATTAAAAAAGCTAGTTATATAAAAACTTTATAAAAATTTAAACTTCATTTTTCAATTTTATCTGAATTTGTAAATAGCTTTATGTATTTGCAGTTCAAAAAAATTCATTAAATATTTTTTAAAATTAGGATTAAAAAAAGAAGATGACTTTGACTTCGGTGTTGAACTTGAAATAGATTTTGGGCTTTCAGTTAAATTCAGTAACAATTGCAAAACTTCATTTAACTTTCAGTTAAATTTGAAAGTTGTTAAGTTTTATCAAATTAAAGAATAGTAGAGGTGTCTGACTGAAATGAAATTTATTTATCATTTATAAAATCTTCTTTATTGCTTTCAAAAAATTTTAAAAGTAAGAGCAGGTAAATATTTAGCATAATATTCTTCACAGACTTTTTCCTTTATAAAATAAAGGTTCGAAATTTTTCAATGAAAGTTGTTTTCATACTTTTAGTTAATGTTCTTTTAAAAACGTTTTTAGATTGCATAACTTGATCTCTCATTATTGCTGCATTTCTACATATTAGATTTTTGTTTTAGACAAAAATTGTTCTTGTTTTTTGTCATGTTTTGAAAGCTAATTATGAGTTTTTATTTTAAAATTAATAATTTTAATTTATAAAAAATGATAATTTGAAAATGTACTTTCATTTTTCTTAAGAAAGTAATAAACTTATATATGATGTAATGCAGGTTTTCAACAAAAAAGTTACTCACCCATGTGGGTTTTTTTTTTTTTAAATTTTTGTTAATTTATGAAAATTTCAATTAATAATATTGTAAATATAATGATAATATACAAATAGTATAAACATTAATTCATACACGTAATATTAACATTAGTTTTTACGCATAATATAAACTAATGTTTATATTATGTAAATATTACACAGCTCAACAAAAAAACTTTTTTTTTTGGTGCCAAGCAAACTATTTGTTTTTTGTATAGCATTTCTCGTTTTGATTTCAAATATGCAACTCATTTTTCATCATCACGTCAAGTTGTAAAGGTATTTGGGTTCAAATCTTCAGTATTTGGGGTAAAATCCCTAATATTGTCAAAATAAAAAAAAATAAAAATTATTTAAAAGTCAACCTGGGTCTCAAAAGAAGCGCACTTTAATAGAGATTTTAGAAAAACCAAAAAAATTTTCTTTGTTGTTGTTGATCTGTGTTATCACTTATAATACCTGTTAAGTTAATTAAATTATATTCTAAAGTTCAAACTTGACTTTCAGGTAAATGCAGTTTTAAAGTCCTAATTTGATTTTCAGTTAAAATTGTTTTAAAAGTCCAGAAAATGTCATTTAGTTAAATTCAGAGTACACATGTGGTTAAAATTTGCTTAACTTCATTTGTCTAACCTTACATAAAATTACTCTTCGCGTATGTGAAAAGCACTACATCTTACGCTTTATCACAAGGCCTGTTATTGCATGACAATTGTTGGTTTTTGTAAGTAAAATTGTACATAAAGCATCAAATCACCGGTTTGAAACTTCCCCCTAATGGACAAGTACTGAGAGTTTTGTTCTATAATACTTGTAAAGTGAATTTAAATGTTAATTAAAGTGCAAATTTTACTATTCTTGAATGTATCATTTACAGGAAAAAGGCACGTATACTATTTAAATTGTTATCTAACTGTGTTAAGAAACTAGTTTCATTAAAACAAGTTTAGAGATAAGCAAAAAAAAAGCAAAAAAAAAAAAGAGTTTCTTTCCAATTTGTTTGACATTGGTCATGTTGATATAGTTCAGCTAATTAAAATAAATGAAGATCTTCTTAGAGCGCCAAAGAGACATAGGTCAGCCTAGTCACATAGCTGTAGTGGACAAAAAACTTACAGAAAAAGAAGAAAAAGAGCGCTTTAGAAACATTGAAGAGGAAAAGTGGCAAGCTAAATATTATCATTCGTTAGCTCCATCAACATCATCTTATGAACCAACACAAGAAAACTCATCTTCTGATTCTGAAATAATAAAGTTGATAGACCCAGCCTAAGTGGTGCTTCTTATCAGCCCAATAAAACTTAAATGCCAAAAAATTTCATAACTCCGAAGTTAATTGCCGCGTTAGATGTCAGCTAAGTGTAAGAGATTCTGTATTTATAATTGAACTATTGGTTATTATTACTGAAATTTTTAAAATCTGTTGGATTTTAGAGTATGTAGATACTTTATTTTTGTATTTATTATTTTTATATGGGCCAAGAAACCTTTTCGTCAATATTTACCCTAAAAAATTGTATTGATTTAGTTCTTTTGATGTTTATGTTATAATTTTAAGTAATGATAGCAGGGTATGGATGACTATTCTATAAGCAAGTCCTTAAAATCTAATTTTTACAAACATGTGAAGAGAGCAGGCTGAAACTATAAAAGTTAATTTTTAAAGCAAAATCCACTATCCACTGGGATGGCTAATGCAGACTCAAGATTCATGTAAATCTAAAGAAGATGATAATGAACAACTTCTTGCTGTGCCAAAATTGGACAGATCATCAGGATGCAAACAGGCACAGGCTGTTTAGAATGCCATTATCAAATGAAATCTTGAGTGCAGATTCTCTGTTGTGACACTATTGCTTCAAATACAGACCGTATTAATGATGCATGAGTGCTTCTCAAACAAAAACTGGATAAAGATATTATTGCTTACCATCATTACGTCTACGAAATAGTATTGAAAAGTGTGTTTGAAGTGAAAATCAGCCAAGTAACTACAAGCCCAGACATTCTGTTGTTTAAAAAGTTTTTTTATATAGAGATGTGAAGCTTTTGAGCATTTTTTTAAGCTCCACAATCCAAATAAAAATAATGAAATTTGACTTAAAACTCTAAAATTATTTTTTTATACTTTCCATCCTGGATTTTATCTCATCCTATCATTAGCCTTTCAAAATGTATTACTTCTTGTTTGTTATTAGGGATGTTTTTTCTATTAGATTTACACCCTACCCCCTTCCTTTATTATCTCTCTAATTCCCAATTCACTCTTAAAATGTTAATTTGAATTTATACATCTTTAAAATCTGAGTTACACATCTTAAAAATCTGTTTTCAAATTTCAATAAAATAAAAATCATACCATACTTATCCGCAAGACCCATTGTACATCTAAAAACACCACCAAATTTCACATCTTCCCCAAAAATCACTATGAATTATAAATAAGCCTTTTATGCATTTATTAATTAGTTCAAAAAAAAAAAAAAAAAAAAAAAATTACATGCTGTTTTATCTGTTTCCAGCGCAAGATCTAATGCATTTGTAACTGCCTGAAATAAATTCATTTTCTTTGTTTCACCTAATGTAAAAAAAAAGATTTTTAAGTAACAACTACTTAAACTGTTATATGCATAAAAACACCTGTACAAAAAAAATTACCTGCAATTGGAATTTTTTCCGGAACAAATGAAAAAGCTGAGGAGTTTCTTTTCTGCAAGTTTAACAGCATTTTATAATTGATTTTTTTAAACTTATTCATTTTTTCTAAAACTTTTTCAAAAACATTTAAATATTTATCTAATTTTAAATAACAACGCTTTTATAGTAATGAAAATATTTTATATTTTATTTGTTTATATTTCATATTATAACATTATTTTAGCTTATGATTGATAGTGATGCTGTAAAAAAACACCAATTTTTTTAAGCCTTTATAATAAATCTAAATTTCTTTATAAGAGCACCATGCACATATTTTCAAAAAGAAAATCCTTTTATTTAAGATTTGTTCAAAAGAAAATACTTATTTTCAATTTTTGTTAAAAAAAATACTTATTTTCAAGATAGATAGTTTTAGATACAAATAATCTGGAAATAAATGTCTTGTTGTAAAGTCGTTAATTTTTTTGTCGTTAATTTTTTTAATTAAAAAAAATACTTATTTTCAAGATAGATAGTTTTAAATACAAATAATCTGGAAATAAATGTCTTGTTGTAACTTGATAAATTTTTTGAATTAAATATATTGTGTTGATTTATGAATGCTGCTAGGTTATCTCTATAAATTGTTTGAAAAAGGGAAAGAACAAAAATAAAGCAAAAAAATAAAACTTATAAAACAATAAATCAGATGTAAAAATATAGAAACTACTTTTCTTTATTTTAGATAATTTTATCAAAAAAAAAAAGTTATTTAGATAAAAAGACAATAAAATAACTTTAAAATATATTCACGATTTATTCACTAAAACAATCCAACATAAGTTTTACTACTTTTGCATTTTGGTAGAATGTACTTTTGAAAAAGTTCTAGAAAGTTATCTTTTACTCCATGCATATTCCATATACTCCTATTTTTATCATCTTTCCAAGTCCAATCAATAACAATATAACTCAGGTATTTTATTGAAAGATTTCCTAAAGAAGAAGAATAAATGCAAGTTTCAAATATGATTTGACATTTGAAATTATTTTTGTTCCTGAATTTTTTTTAAATTTTTCTTTGTTCTGGTTTTTGTAAATGTTAAAAAACTACTAAAATATCAGGCTTTGTTTCAGAACATTATTCATAATACTAAAAATTTATCGTTAACTTTGTTGTGTCAGTCTGTCAGACACAACAAAGTTAACAATAGATTTTTTAGTATTATGATAGAACTAGCCAAATATATCGGTATAGACATTTGGCTACCTTTACAATTAGTAGCATTTGTAACTGCAACTTAGACGTATTTTAAAATATATAAAAACAGGTAGTTATAGTAATAAACATACCTAACTCAATAAGTTTTGCAACTCTGTTTGGTGTCCCAACACCAAGATGGATAACATTTTTATTTAAAAAATCTGCCTGTTCATTAATCTAAACAAGAAAATAATTTCACCTGATCATTATTATAAGCAATTAATGTATTTTGTAAAAAAATTATAAAATTAATGATTTAATAATTTAACAATTTAGATCGAAACCAAGTTATAATAATTTTAACAACCTGCTAATCAAACCAGGTTGATTTGCAAAGGCTGCATTAAAGCTATTAACATAAACAAAGAATTAAAAAAAAAAAAAAATCACGTCATAATTAAGGTGGCAAACAATTAAAGAAAAAACTATTAATAAAATTGCAGATGACATTGATAGAAAATTGCTCAAACTGAACTAACCATGAATTCATCACACAAAAATATTATAATAGGCAAAATCACAAATAAAAATAAAAATTATTCAATTTTCATTACACATATCTGAAATATAGAAAGCTAATCTAGTTGTAAAAAAATTATGGAAAAAAAAAAAAAGGTGGAGGAGGTACTTTAGATACTTTATACAACCCAAAAGCTTTGTTTGTGGCACAGAATCCCAATTTAAAAACATCTTTAAATATATATGCTAATATAAATTTTAATAAAGTTAAATTTTAAATTTGTCAATGTGTTAGCTTGGCCAAGAGGTTAATGCTGTGGACTGCGGAATCGAAGACCCATGTTGGAATCGAAGACCCATGTTCGATTCCTGTTCGAGTCATATAGTACTTTTTTTTGTTTTAATGATGAATCAAACAAAAATAAACTATATAAAAGGCGGACGTTTTTTTCAAAATAGTGTGAAAGTGTCCTATCTGGAATAACAAAAAATCTTGCGGGCCCCCATGCATGTGTGTGCATTGAGGGCAACTATACCCTCTACTTGCTATACCAAACATCTTTTTATGTTGGCAAACTAGGATCTTTAGTCAGAATTTCAACTTTTCTATTGATTACCTGGTTAATTGTGATAAATTAGAAAATTAATGTATGTACTTTTATATTGAACCCTCTCCTCCCCCCAATACGCTTTCGTATGCTTTTTGAAGACCTCCCCCTCCCCCCTATGAGCGTACGCACTTTATGGACAACCCCTAATCTGTTTAACTGTCAGGAAGAGTATGGTCATTATATTTAAGGGTCAAATTAGAGTAAGATTTCTTTACAAATAACTCTGGGGAGAAATAAAAAGATCAGAACCATGAATTAGAGATTCAATGTTAGACTTACTTTAGTTAATGACACTGTCAAAGACTAACCAAAGGTCTCTAGAACCTAACACCTGAGATAAGATACAAGATTTAGTAAACTAAGAATAACAGAGCTTAACATCAGACAGTAATAAAATTTGAAGAGAATGACGATGATAATGATGATGATAATAATAATGATGATTATGATGATCATGTTGATCATAATGATGTTTATATATACATATATATATACAAAATATAACATGAATTTTGAATAAAAAAATATACTTTAGGATGTATAAATGTTTATGCAGCCCCGGTCACAAACCTGCCCCGGCTCCGGTTATAATTTATTAAACCCGGCCTCAGTCAAATATCAACTTTCCTCAAGCAAAACCCAAACATCGTTTGTGTGAACTTTTGATATAAACCATAATTTGCAATAACTTGGGTTTTGCATCTCCCTTCAAGTTCCCAACTTTTCTACTAATTGGTACAATTAAAACAAACACAATCTCAAAAAGACTTGAGAAGTATTATAAAACAAATAAAATTTAAACAAAAAAAACTATATGCAAATAAAAGAGTCTATTTTCCTCCTACTGTAGTGAAGAAATAAAAATATTTCTCCTGTTTTATACAATAATAAAGTTCTCTTTTTTTATTATTTTACATATTACCATATTCTGAAAAGAATCTTTCAGAAAAAATGATGGATGATGCTGGAGTGCTTAGAAGCACTTCAGCATCATCTATAGAAGTTTCATAGCAAGTTTTGAGGGCATGTAATATACATAGACATGAATATTACCTTAAAGGTGTAATGAAATTTATGATTGTGATTATGAAAATTGAAAAGCTTTAACATCAATTCTTAAAACTTTAGATGTAACTATGGCAATATGATCATCAACACAAAATATTACTAAACATAAAAACTACAATAAAATTCTTAATCAATATTGCTCACAAATTACACATTAAATTAAAAAAAACTGCCAGCCTTGTCATTATTTTTTATTAATCTCATTGTTTCTAAATGGAACAACCTAGCCAAACAGACAGAAAATGTCCAAGACATCATTTTTACATCATCTACTGTAAACACACTATTTAAAATATTTATTTAAAGGTACTACAGCTTTTGATAATACTTAATAATAACAAATTAAAATTTCATAACAATAAATAAAAAAAATTTACTATTTATATTTTAACATTTTAATATATAGAACACATTTTTATATACATATTTCTTATTTACATAAAATATATAAGTACATTTTAAGTAGACATGTTGAGTGGTGTATTATTATTAATTCAAAGAAAATTTTTTAGTTGACAGAGAGTGAGATCTGTTGCAAGCTCACACTCTTACAAGTGACATTAGTGCAGGTCTTGGTATATATAAAAGGTCTTTTTTATATATGTTGTAACTTTTTTTTCTGTTGCACAAGTAGTATATTACTATTTAAATTTTATACTAGCCTAGTTAATGTTTAAACCGTGACAAGTATTAAAGTATATTACAGTATATTACTATTTCTAAACTGTAAACACTTTAGCAAAGTTGACTTTCACATTGCATCATAAAGATGTGGGTAGTTGGTAAAATGCGAACTGCGAACCGGTTAAATGCGAACTTTTTTGAGAAACATACTTCTATTGGTTGTTAATGATGTAATATTTTTTATTCTCTGTTTACTGTTAAACTGTTTATTTTACTATATATTTTATGGACTTTAAGCAGAAACATAAATAATATTTAATTTAAAAGAAATCTAATTTAAATAAAATATATCAAATTACACTATATTTAATTCAAATTAAAAAATTGACAAAAAAAAGTTTTTTTAAATATCATAACTGTTGTGGTCATTAAAATATAGTGTCTTGGTTTGCAAAAAAGTTCGCATTTTACCAGTTCGCAGTTTGCATTTCACGGACTACCAAAGATGTGGTCTTAAGATCGAAGAGTGTATTGATTTTTTTATTATATACATTTTTATTTTCATTAATTTTTTGTTGTTTTATACGTCCACTATTCTCTGACTTTAATTCAATAATGCAAGCGCTTATAATTTCATGACTAATAATACACTATATAATACATTTCTTTCTCAGTACTTTCACTGTAACGGTAGCACAGTGTTTTAATGTGCCGCTTAGCATGTCAGCAATTCAAGGTTCTCATCAGATCGAATTTCTATTTTTATATCAGCATCTTTTTTCTATTAACCATGCTAGCAATCATTATGCCATTTAGCATTTTTTAACATAGAGATAATTTTTCAACTCAAGTCTCACTACTTCTTTAGATATCTATCTTTTTGCATTTTCACTTAATAAACCTACAATTTACAACCTGTTCTTAAAATCACTACTTTGACGTTTACCTAAATAGATGGTTTGTTGGTAACCTGTGTGTGATCTTTGCATTGCAAAAATAATACACAACAAAACAATACATGTACTAAGCATGTAAGTTGTATCATTCAAAAGATACGTAATTTTATAAAACAAATCCAAAGTCAACAAAAACTATAGTCTATGAGGCTGTTTAACTAAACCTTTTTTATCAATGTTAAACCATTAAATCATGTTTGGATTTCAAAATCAAAAAAAAATTAAAAAAAATAAAAATAAAGAAATACCTTAAAATGTTTGGCAAATAATTTCATACTTTTGCAATTTTTACCACGAAAATCAGATGCTTTTCTGAAAGAAAAAAAAAAAAAAAAGGATAAAAAACGAGTTGCAGTTTGATTACATAATTATAAAAAGATTAAATATATATTTGATTTGATTGATGACTTCCGCCATGACAGCGTGAAGACGTATTCTATTTGCTACACTTAAATTCGTACAAAAATTTAAAATAATTTAATAATCGTTAATGTTCAATTTTGTGATTTTAACATTTATAAAGAACTTCAAGACAAAAAATTTAAAACACTTGAAATCTTAATACACGATTTACTTAAGCAGAATGAACTTCTTGGAAAGCGTGTTGCTGAACTAGAAAATGGAAAAATAAATAGCTAAAGTTCTAAAGTTTTGTTTAGCAGACTTTTTACTGCTGATAAACCTAAAATAAATGACCAAGAGGCAAGTATTCTAAATGCTTTCTCTACAGAAATCTTGGCAAGAATGAAGAGAGAAAAAATGTAATAATATATGACGTTAATGAAGTTAAAGAAATTGATGTAAACAAAAAAATAGATGACGATAAAAACGCATTAAACAAAATTTGCAGCATTGAAACTTGATAATGAAAAAATTAGGCATCATCAACGATTTAATTCAAAAAGTGAAAAGCTGGGAATAATTATGGTTGAAATGATTAACAAGCATTCTGCTCAGGAAGTAATAAAAGAAGCCAACAAATTGAGTAAAATTGACAAATATAAAAACAAAGCTTATATCAACCCTGACCTTACCTTAAATACATGCATTCTTAGTAGTAATCAGGGGTGTGGAGTTGTAAAAAAAAAGTAATGACTCCGACTCCAGTTGTTGAAACTTTTTGAGTACAACTCCGACTCCAAAGCAAAATTTTTGAAAAATTCTTTGAATTCTTTAAAATATATTACGCGATAAGTTAAAAAATATTTTTTTGCCAAATTTATGAAACATTCTTTGAGGTTTAGTATGAACATAAGGTTAATTGAATGTTTTATACATGCACGTGCAATACCGAGAAGTTTTACTATTGGAGTCGTGATTTTGTTTAGCAACTCTGACTCCGCTAAAAATATCGCAACTTTAACTCCACAGCCCTAGTAGTAATTTTGAATTATTAAAAGTATTTATCTATGAAAATAACAACATTGACGTAATTATTTTGCAATAAGTATGAAAAATTAAAGATTTTATGCTGGACTATAAGCTGGATAACTTTACTGGTCCTTTAATATACCAAAGGATTTCAAACTGGTGCTTACATTAGAAATGGAATTACTTCTAAAGTAATTAATACTGGCTTTTACGAAAATATGGTAGAATCTATGGTAACTGAGTTACAAGGAAATAGTAAATGGAAAATTGTAAACATTTATAAGCTTCCAGGTGGTAATTAGAAAGAGAAACTGAAATTTATTAAATTATTTATGAAAACAATTAAACTATTTATGAAAACAATAGGACCAATGCAATATTTTGTGATAATTTTAACAACTTTCTTAACTCAATAACCTCTCTAGATTATATTAATATCTTGAAAGAGTATAACCTCATTAATATAATTAATGACCTGACTAGATTAGTGTTTAGTACATGTCTTGACCATGTTTTAATTAGTAGGAGTCAATCTAATGTTACAGCTGAAATTTATGACTACGGTATCACTGATCATCAAATTGTTTTATTCACAATATATGACTACTTTGATAGGAAATTTAGAAAACTAAACAGAGAATCTTATTACACAATAAAATCAAAAGTGGACAATAACTTCACAAATGATAGCCTTGATATAATTTACAAAAAATTTATTAACAAAATTAAGATTGAATTAGACATTGCAGCGCCAGAAAAAAAAGTTGTGAGTAACTAGCAATTTTTAGCCAAATTTAGTGAGTAACCAGCAATTTTTACCCAAAAACCAATGGAGGACAAGAGAATTAGACAATTTAAAAAAGCTCATAACGAATTTAGGCTCAAAGGTTATTAGAGGAAGAGATGATTTAAAGCTTCTTTTAATTAAAAAAAAAAAAGTATATAAAAAAACTATCCATAGCCAAAAAAATAACTTTTTTAGGCAATAGCTGATACATTGTAAAGGGGACAGTAAGAAAACTTGTTTTGTTCTAAACAATGCCATTCATAGATCTAATAAAGGCGATTATTTGATAGATATTGAAAAAAATTCATGTTTGAATTGGATGTTACTTGGGATTTAAAGTTAGTGTCTAATCTAATGAATCAATCTAATGAATCAATAACAAAAATTGTTAATAGTTTTGCTCCAAAAAGTAGTTGTTATTTTAATCTAATAAGTAATAAGTTAATGAAACATTGCTTATCAGAGTGCAGTCATTTTTTAACAAAAATGATTAATGATTCTATAACTACTGGGTGTTTCTCACAAGAATTAAAACTAGCTATGATAAAACTTGTTTATAAAAAGGGAAATAAAACCATTATGGAGAATTACAGGCCAATTAGTATATTGCCAGCATTATCAAAAATATTTGAAAAAGTTGTTATATATTAAATTGAGAAAAACTTTGATGATAATGGAATTATTCCAATTAATCAATTTGGCTTTAAAAAGAGATGCAATGCAATACATACTAATTTTAAAATTTTCAATATGATAACGGACTATAGAAACCAAAATATAATTGTTACAGTCATTTTACTTGATGTAAAAAAAGCTTTAAATAGCTGTGCCCATAGCATTATTTAAAACAAGCTTAAAAACATTGGTGTCAGTGAAAAAAACTTTAAAATGGATCTCTTCATATTTAACAAACAGAAGGCAGTCAGTTGTTATTGGAAGTTATATATCAAAAGAAAGAGTAGTAAAGTTGGTTGTTGGTCAAGGAACATGTATGAGTCCATTACTTTTCAAAATTTTATATTTATGACCTACCAGGTGCAACAGAATTAGACACTATCTTCTTTGTTAATGATACAAAAAAGATTGCGAAGGCTGACTCTATTGAACAGTTACAGGAAATATGTTGCAGGGAATTAGAAAAAATTAGTAATTATTTTTTAGCAAATAGATTATCACTTAATCATGAAAAAACAAAAATTATGACATTTAGTAGCGCAAAAAATATTGCAATAATGTTACAAGGGCATAAGTTTACCTAATGTGGAGAAAATTATAAAGAAAAAAGTGTTAGCATTCTTGGTATTTTTTGGGACGACAAAATGAAATGGCATCACCATATAGTACAAACACCAAAAAAGATAAGTAAAGACATCTACCTACTTAGAATGAACAATGCTTTAATTAGAAGCCATTTAATGTATGGTGTTGAAATTTGAGAAAACAGTAAATCAAAAAAATTATGCAACTCAAATATTTACAAAAGAAAGCTCTACGGATTATTGGTCCCAGCAAGGTATACTTGTATACTTGTAAATTATAAATTTATTAACTTATAAATTTATAATTTACAAGTTAATAAATTTATAAAAAAATAAAAACAAAATAAAAAAGTTTGAGAATTTTCCTTCAAACTTGTTTTTATTAAAAATTAAAAGGAATATAATTTTCAACAAATAATACACACAAAAACTGAGGATCTTGATGATTACCATGTACAGAAGGATGTGAGTATTTATGTGTGTGTGTGTGTGTATATATATATATATATATATATATATATATATATATATATATATATATATATATATATATATATATATATATATATATATATATATATATATATTAGGGTGTCCCAAAAAAAAACAACATTTTTGAATATAATTTGCTCTCACCCCCTAAATGTGTTTTATCTAATACAAAAACACTTGGTTTAAATTTTTTTTGAATAAAAAATATTATAAGGGGTCCCTCAAATGAAGCGAAATTATATAAATATTTCAAAAATAATATTCATTTTGAAATATTTTCAACTTATTTATCAAAATTATCATAAAAAAACATTAGAAATGCATTTTTTTCATTTTTTCTTAAAAAACGCAATTTTTTATGTAATAAAACCAAAAATAACAATTTTGTTTTGAAATGAATATTATTTTTAAAATTTTTATATAATTTTGCTTCATTTGAGTACCAGGGTTGACATATTTTTGAAAAACTTTTTCTTCGAAAATATTAGGGACCCATTAAATATTCGAGGGTCTTGAGGGACCCCTTAAAATATTTTTTATTCAAAAAAAATTTAAACCTAGTGTTTTTGCATTAGATAGAACACATTTAGGGGGTGAGAGCAGATTATTTTCAAAAATGTTGTTTTTTGGGACACCCTAATATATATATATATATATATATATATATATATATATATATATATATATATATATATATATATATATATATATATATATATATATATATAAACCCGCCAAATTAACGAACAAACTAATTCTATTGGTTCAAAAAATACGCTGACTAAGCGAAATAAAGTTCTAGAGTATTCTCTTGAAATGTTTTAGCAATTGTATTATTAACGATTTGTTACGTTTAGCATAAATTGTTTTAAGAATAAATATTATTTGTTGACAAAAATAAATGTTTTAAATATATATTAAGTTTATTATAAATTATAGATTTTATTAGTATATTCTTATTTTTTATTTAAAAAGTATGTATTTTTTATGTAAATGTAATTTTGTGTATTTGTTTTTTATCGTAATGTATTTTTTAAAGCAATTTTCATGATTTAAACAAAGACTTACAAAAATAATTGCGTTTTTAATGAAGTTATAATCATTAAAGTTAATAAAACTAATTATGTAACAAACATATAAGAATTTTCTGGTTACTAAATACAAACAATGCATACAAAGTAACTTGCGGATAAACAAGCACCGCGCCTGAGGTCACGACAGAACACAAATATAAATAGCAAATAATTAAATATAGAGAAAAGTTTCTAGATATTCGTTTACTAACTCTAATTATTTTCGCTTAAGTTGCCATTCTTTAAACTCATTATACTTTTTTCTGCTTTAAATACTAATTAAAATTAAAAAGCCCACTCACTAAACATCGTCAGCGATATTGTGAAGCAGTTTCGCTTCCTCGTCAAAGTATTTTTAACCTTTTTAGTTGATTTCTATCTTGTTAATTTAATTTCTATAGTAATTCAATGATTTAACTGTGTTATTTGTTTATCTTACTAAGAAGAATTGCTTCAAATATGTTAAACTTTTCAAACTACGCGAAACATAAAATAGGTATTAAAAAAATTAACTTTTTTTATTTATAAAATAATTTAGCTTAAAGAAAACTAAAACTTGCAAACTTTGTTAAATAAAGAATATTTGTTTCCTTTTTTAAACAATCGTAAGATGTTACTTCATATAAAAAACATCGCTTAATTTCATGAAAAAAATTATAAAAGAGCGATGTTTCGAAAATATTTGTTCTAAAAGTAATTTATTTAGCTTTAAGTTTTTTCGCGTTTAAAGATATTTTATTTGCCTAATTTTTTTTTGTAATTGTCTCTCATTGGTCCAATTAATCTTAATTAATATTATATATATATATATATATATATATATATATATATATATATATATATATATATATATATATATATATATATATATATATATATATATATATATATATATATATATGTATATATATATATATATATATATATATATATATATATATATATATATATATATAATATATATATATATATATATATATATATATATATATATATATATATATATATATATATATATATATATATATATATATATGTATATATATATATATATATATACTCATATAGTGTCGCTTTAAGAGCATTTTAATGTAAAAAAAGTCTCTTACGACTACAATTTTAATTACCTCGTCTCTTAAGCTGTTTTTGATTGTCATCGAAATGTCAAAGCAATTAATTTATGCGGAAGTACATTAAATTTAATTGTTTTTTAAAAAATTTTTAAAAAACCGCAATTATAACGACTAGAAAGTTTTTTTTAATTAGTGGTGTTTTTGTTATTGATTTAATAAAAAACATTTTTTAAACATGCGTAAATGTTGCTACATCGACTATCTTATAGCCTGACTCGCAACAGAGTGCTGCTACATCGACTGACAAATAGCCTGACTCGCAACAGAGTGCTGCTACATCGACTGACAAATAGCCTGACTCGCAAGGGAATGCTGCTACATCGACTGACAAATAGCCTGACTCGCAAGGGAGTGCTGCTACAACGACTGACAAATAGCCTGACTCGCAAGAGAGTGCTGCTACATCGACTGAGGGTTTGGTTTGGCCAGGCAGTCTATCAATTAAAAAAAAAAATTTAATTTTTAAAACTTTTTCTGGTCTGGTTTATTAACGCGCTCTTTAAAACTACAGTTTATGGGAAATATTTTTTGATGCTACGCAAGAGACATGCAAGACTATATATATATACATATATATATATATATATATATATATATATATATATATATATATATATATATATATATATATATATATATATATACATATATATATATTTATATATATACATGTAATACAAACTTTGTTGCTTATCAAGATAACACAGCTAGAAGATAGTGTCTCAATAAAAACACTCATCTTGGTCAGATGTTAACTGTATACAGCTACTGTCTATTAAAAGACGTCCTAGGCAAAGACTTTATTCTGTTACATTGTTTCCTGCCAAGGATAATGAATGCTGGACCTTCTAGACTCAGGATTTTACTTCTAGACTCATAGATTTTACTTATACCTCTGTGATAGAAGCAACTCTTCCTGTTATCTCCTGATTAGGGTACAACTCTAAAACTCAAAGTATTGGTTCTGAGGTAGTAAGGTTTCCCAAACTCTACGATAGCTCTTAGAGAGGTTGATTCCATCAACAGCTGTAAATTATTAGAGTATTAACAGTGCCATACTGCGCATTATGGTGTCCCTAATTGGGTTTTTATTGTTCATTGTCAAAGCCACATAAGAAGCCTTTTGATAGAATTTCCGATTAATTAAAGGGTCCAATGAAACTGCATAACTTACTGCTTGAGATGTCATGCACTATGAATGAGTCTCTAATAACTTAAAACAGGACTAAAGAACTATTATTATAACAAAAATAGCTATTACCAACACTTAATGCAGGCTTGGACAGGAATGGCATGCGATCAAATGTTATTGCTGACCACAAAAATGTTTTTTTTTTTTTTACAACTTGTTTACACGACTGTTAAGATAATTTGATGATTTAAACATTTCAAAAATGCGCTAAAAAATAAACGCTGAGCTAAACATAAACAAGAAAGAAAATTATATATATATAAAAAAAACATTCCTTACCAAAAAAAAATATATATATATATACTAAAATAAAACATCTTTTGCGCACAAATAAGAATACGTTATACGTTACATTATTTGTATACTCGCATACAAATATTGACTTTTTTACCTAATTTCACATTTAAAAAAATCAACTTAATTTATTTCTTGTTGTGTGTACTAATTATGTTTCCTACGTGTCTAGCGTAAAACTTTAACTCTGAGCCTGATATAGGTTATTTTCACTATAATCTTTTGAACCTTTAGAAATTTTAAACCAATTGGGAATTCTGTATTATATACGGTACCATCAGGTTGGCTAACACCCTGTATGTGTGCGTTCATAAGAATATTTAAATGCTAAAAATGATAATAAATTATTTTTCTCATACTATCTTTCTGGCTTTATGCCGTTGTTCTTTTTTATTTTGCATATTAGAAAAAAGGAAAAGTTTCAGTCATAACATAAAATCATGAAGTTTTTTTTTCATAAATACTTTAAAAAGTGTTTACCTCAATAAATCTGCTGCACGTTGTCCACCTGATGTGATTATTAACATGACTGGCGAACCAGGTTTATCCTGGACTTTTTTGCAAATTTTTTCCCAATTAGGTACAACTGAATAATTAGAAATACAAATATAGCATTAAAAAATAACCAAAAGTTGATATATAATATATGAACTACATTTTAGGTTTAAACAATTTAAGGTTTTGCACAACATTAAAAATAATTGTTAAGAAAATAGCTTTTATAGAAAAAATAATAATTTACAAAATCAGAGAATTGCAGACTCTCTTTCTCACTTGTTTTTAAATAAGAAGAAAGTTGAAAGTTTTCATCAATAACTTTTGGAGAATCTTCTCCAATTACCCACGAATCTATGATAATCAAAAGATAGGTTCATAAAACTTTGTAATAACTTTTTTAATACTTTAATGCTAATGTAAAAAAATGTTAAAATAAAAATTAAAAAATTCAAATTAAAAGTAAAACAAATCGTATCAAATTATAATACCATGATTAGGTTTAATATCCTCTAGCTCTATGCATGATAATGTTTTTCCAAGCTCTTTTTCAAAGTATGCCCATAAACTTTCTACATTAGGTACAAGTGTATTTTCCTAAAATAGCACTTTGATATGTCTATATTAGTAAAAATATTTTATTTTCTATCATTTTCCCCTTAAATCACAATGTACTAAAAAGTATAAATTACTTGTACTACTTGAATTGAAAGCTTCTTTTTCTTTTGCTTTTTTTTAGCCAAGGGCACAATATTATTTGATTTTTTCTTTTTAGCTTCTTTTTCAGGTGCACAATTCTGTTCATTGATTAATTTTCTTTTTCTTTTTTTTATTTTAGGATCACCATCATTTTTATCTATTGATACTTTTCTTTTCATTTTCTTTAACTTTGTAGCTTTTACACTCTCTGTAAATGTTTACAATTTCAAATTATAGAATCAAATACTTAATTAAAAAAATGTTATTAATAAAAAATTTTTTATTCAAAAACAAGGTTTTCACTTGCAAAAGAAGTTATCAAACTCACAATCAAAGTTTCCACTCAATAATGAGATTTTCAAACCAAAAAAGGTTTTTTTTAATCACAAACATGAGAAAAAATTTATAACAGATTTTTCCTGTAGAGTAATTACAATTTAGAGATATCTTTATTTTTCTCTTTTTGAATTTTTCTAACCTATTTATAGAACTTTTACCAGGGCTTTAAAAAACCATTATCCCCGCTTAAAAAAACACAGTCGTTCATAAACATGGCAAAGTTTTATAGGATATAAATAGAATTTTAGAAACATAAATTTGACATAATTAATATAAATAACATTCCAAAAACAACTATGAACGTTAATGCATATAAAATTAGACTCTAGAAACATGGTAGTATGTTAAAAAAAGTTTTCAAACTTTTTCCAACAAACAAAAGTGTTTTTATCTAATTTTGCTCTAATATGTTTAGTCTTGATAAAGTTTTTGAAAATTAGTTGATGTAGTGTACTTTTCATAAAAATTAGTTGATGTGGAGTACTTTAAAGCTGCAACAACTAGCAGGTCTTTCAATAAAGATAATCTAAGGAAAAAATGAAATGATTTAGTATATACTTCTACTTAAAACTGAAAAATGCCTTGAATGAAATGGAGAGTATTATTTTTCTTATTAATGTTGATCCTAATGTTAATATTTTTTTAAAAATTTAAGTTGTTAATTTATTTTTGTAACTTACTAGTTTCCTGATGTTTGTTTGATGTTTTTGTAACTTTACTAGTTTCCCTGATGTTTGTTTGATGATTTTGTAACTTACTAGTTTCCCTGATGTTTGTTTGATGATTTTGTAACTTACTAGTTTCCTGATGTTTGTTTGATGATTTTGTAACTTACTAGTTTCCCTGATGTTTGTTTGATGATTTTGTAACTTACTAGTTTCCTGATGTTTGTTTGATGATTTTGTAACTTACTAGTTTCCTGATGTTTGTTTGATGATTTTGTAACTTACTAGTTTCCTGATGTTTGTTTGATATTTTTGTAACTTACTAGTTTCCCTGATGTTTGTTTGATGATTTTGTAACTTACTAGTTTCCTGATGTTTGTTTGATGTTTTTGTAACTTACTAGTTTCCCTGATGTTTGTTTGATGATTTTGTAACTTACTAGTTTCCTTGATGTTTGTTTGATGATTTTGTAACTTACTAGTTTCCATATGTTTGTTTGATGTTTTTGTAACTAACTAGTTTCCCTGATGTTTGTTTGATGATTTTGTAACTTACTAATTTCCTTGATGTTTGTTTGATGATTTTGTAACTTACTAGTTTCCTGATGTTTGTTTTTAATTATATAATTTTTTTGTATTTTAATTATATAATTTTTCAAACATTACAACAAACAAAACTCCTGTAATTTTTGTTTGTAATAAGTTTTCTATAACTTTGAAATAAAATTGACACATTTGTGAATACAAACACAAGCATAAAGTAGAAAAAAATACAAAAAATAGGTGCAAAAAAAAAATAAAAAATGTAATAAATCCTCGCATATAGAAGTTTTTTTGATTTAGAGGAACATATTTTTTGTGATGAGCAAACTATACACTTCAGAAAAATACTTAAACTTAAAAAGTCAATTTGAATTGGTAAAAGCAAATTGTGCAAATTGTAGTTCCACGTCGAATCACACAGTCTATTGAACAATGTGTTTTCTTTTTTTTTATAATTTGACTTTTGATACCTATATATATATATAAAAAAATGAATACAAAATTTTTCTCAAAAATGTTGAGCTGTTCCTGAGATGTGGCAAATCTAATATTTCATGATTTCAAAAAAAGGCCCAACCTTTATAAAAAAGAACTTCAAACATTTTAACTCAATAAAACAAAAATAAACATTTAGAATGCTTTTTTGACTTCAAATAATAAAGTTAGAATGCTAAAATAAACTTATACATCTTATATAACCCAACTTCTGAATTATACAATATTTCAAAATGCTTCCATCAAATGTGGTGAGGAATGGAGTGCAATTGCATGAGCACACCTAAACTCAGTATCACATGTTCACTCACACACATTAAAGTACTTTAGACATGTGCCATTCATATGACTTAAAACTTAAAATAAAAGCTTTTAAAAATATAAACAAAAAAAAAATTATTTTTATTTTATTCAACAACATAATTTGCAACAAAATACACAGTCAAATAATAGCACAGTTAATAAATGATCATTTTCTAAAACATAATTTCTTAACTTTTTTTTTTTTTTTTTCAACATCTTCACTTCCAACAAGGCTGTAATAAACCACTATTGAAGTTGGAAGTTACTTTATGATTAACAGACAACTTAAAAGAATGCAAACTATATGAATCAGGAAAACAAGATGAAGGAAGCCAATTCCGTAGGACTGATGTTTGAGGAAAAAAACTAGATGAATAAGAATTTTCGAAGCACTTAGGAACAGCCACAATAAAAGGATGAGACTTGATTAAATGACGAGTAACATGAAAATGAATTTTAGTAGATGGCATAAGAGACACTAGCTCTTTAGAGTGCCCATTTTAGTATTTAAAGAAAAGAGAAAGAGAAGCAACATTACAACGTGATAATGGAAGTTGACTGCAAGAGCAGGTCTATCTGTTTACAATGCACCTTGTTTTTGCACCTTGTCTAAAAGAGAAAGATATGGCAATAGTATTCCATACAAGGACAGATTTGAGATTTATAAAGATAAAGAATAGAATCCTGAGTAAGAAAGTGGCGAACACGATAAAGTGATGCAACTTTAGCAGATGCTAATTTTGCAATGGATTTGATATATTGTCAGCAAGAACTGAGGCTGTATCTCCACTTTTTTGTAATTCGGAGTAACATGATTTTCAAATTTTAGGGTAGAAATACTGACAGTTGATCTTTTCGTAAAATTTTTATATTTTTAAATCTAATATTAAATTAAGTATTACTTTTATTAGAAGTAATAAAAAAAAAAATGTAGCAAACTGAACCTAATTGTGGACATGCAGCCTGCTGGTTTGCATTTCTACAAACTTAAGGAAACAGTGTTTTTTCAGAAAGCGGTTAATAGGATTACTCTCAGGTGATTAATACAAAGGGGGAAGAAGTGTAAAAGTTTTATTCCAGATTTAATAAACAGGAAGAGGGGGAGGGGGCTTGTCTTAATAAAAATATGAATTGGAATTTTTAACATTAAAACAAATAAACAATTTTAATTCTAAAGTGGCTTCCCATCTAATGTGCATTTTTAAACAGCTGTTTTATTATAAGTCAATAGGAATTTTTTGGATGCATAGGGAAAATTTCCAAAAATTAATAAACAGATTGGAAATAATTGGAAGCATGGGAAAAATTTCCAAAAATTAAAAAACGTCTCCTTGCATGTTTTAAGCACCTTAGAGTAAATTCGATGAAGTAATTTTTCAAAATTAGAATTAAAGTTATAAAACTTTCTAAGCAAAATATAAATAAATAGCTTTTCCAGTATTGGTGAGACCTGGACTCTATTTTTACCTTGTTTTCTAGTTGTTAGCATTTCATGGTAAACTATGTATTTATATATTTCAATGCAGTTTTGAAAAGCATAAAACCAAATAAGATTGCAAAACATAATTTTTTGTTCATAAGAGTTGGTTATGTTGATGCAAACATTATACAAATAATATATAATACAAAATTAGTTTCAGAATTAATATATATATATATATATATATATATATATATATATATATATATATATATATATATATATAAATATATATATATATATATATATATATATATATATATAATAATGCGGTAGTGGTGTAGTGGTAGAGCGCTCGCTTCATAAACGAGTGGTTCCGAGTTCGATCCCCACCACGTCCCTGGTAGTACCGCGCTCAACTCGTTTCTCCGCGCAGCGGCCTTGTTCGTCAAGGTTCGTGTTTCGGAGTTATAGAGTTGAGAGAGGGTTATAGCCACAAATAAGTAGCCTCCTCGTCTGTAGTGGCCTTCTCGGCCTTGAGGAGGTGAATTAAAATAAAAATAAAAAAAAAAAAAAAAAAAATATATATATATATATATATATATATATATATATATACATATATATATATATGTATATATATATATACTTAACTATGTTGGTTACAATAAGCTAGTTGCAATAGTAAATATAAATTAAAGACTAATCCAAACATTCTGTTTTACTTGATAATGAAATACAACAAGCCAGCAAAATAAAATTTATAAAATAATTTTATTTTTTTATTTTATCAAGTTCACAAAAAAGTTTAAAAAAAATTGATGCAGAACCAAGTTGTCAATAGAGCTGAAAGTTACAGAAAACAACAATTAATAACAGTTAACATTAAATGCCAGAACCGAATTTGTGAAAATGTTCTGGAACCAAAATGTCTAAAAACTGTTTAGAATCAAAAAATATTTAATTAATTTCTAGAATCAAATTTATTGAACATAGAATGAGATGATTGAATATCATTAAAAGTCTAATGAAACTAAAAACTGAACTTCTTTTCACAGCCGATTAATTCAGCATCAATTTTTTTTTTACAATCGAATTTGTAATTTTAAAACTTAATTACTTTTCACATTTGTAATTTTAAAACTTAATTACTTTTCACAGCTGATTAATTTAGCATCAAATTTTTTTACAATTGTAATTTTAATACATGTGTAGTGTTGTTGCAGTTAAAAGACGGCATAATTTTTTCAAACTGGTTTTTGTGTTAAAGATTAACATGTACATGATCCTGACAAAAAAAGGTTTTTATTATTTTCAAAACTAATATATTTTATTTGTCGCAAAATTTTATGTAAATACAAAAAATCCAACAAATGCATGTGAAAATATATCAAGCTTTGTTTAAATTTAAAATAGCAAAATGGAATATAGAAAAATTGAAGGT